AGGTGTCTTCCACATATAGCTGGTCTTATATTTTGAGTCTCTAATGACTCTGATGCTATCTCCTTTTCATTATACCAGGAAGGACAACTGATTAGATCAATCACAACACCTTAGCCCAAGTGATACAATCAGCAACACAATAACATCAAGTACCTCTTAGAAAATGACAATTTATGGTAGTTAATAATCTATCACCTTTAAGTGTGTGAATTAAATCAAAATCAAGGACCAACTCAACATACCTTTATAGTGAATACACTCTTCAATATAGCAACTTTACCCTTTGGGATGTGGAGTTAGGATGAGGTGGGGAGGGAGGAATAGGTAAAGTAGAAGGATAGGGGAAGGTTAGCAGTGAGGCCAGAGGACACAGGCAAGAGAAGGAAAAAGAGAGGAAAAGAAAGGTAAAGAAGAAATACAAATTAGGGGCAGAACAGGAACACAAAGGGAGATGAAGAACAATGTGGGACAGCAAGGGATTGAGGTAGAGAGAGACAGAAAGAAAAGAGAAAAGAAAGCAAAAGATAAAAATAAAAATTTTAAAAGAGTAGCAAAGCAGAAAAATAATTAAAAATAAGCACCAAAAATAATGGTAATTTTGAAAATAACAAATAAAAGATAAAAATGAAGGCCCTCCTTCAGGGTATGTCTCTGTTGTCACAATAGACAACATGGGCAGTAGTGTACAGTCATAAGTCAGTGAGTCTCTGTAAGACAGTCACAGACTTGTGAGATTCAGGCAGATTTCTGGCTGCAAGTCCCAAGTTGAGCTCCCTGTCTTCCTGTAGGGTTGAACTCTGCAAGGTTCTTCTGCAGGTTCCAGCTGCTTTTCCCCTGAAGATAGTCCAGGTTCCAATGGGAGGTGAGGATCCGTCCAACTTACCAAGCACAGTGGTCTGGTGTGCCTTTATTGCAGAGATTCTCTTCACTTTTCCAGTGGGCTTCAATTTTCACCAGGGAGCCTGAGTGAGGCCCTCTTTCTGTTATTCACTTCTGCAGCTCAAGACAATGGCCTTTATGCTCCCCTGTGCCTCTGCAGTGTGGATCCAAGTAGTGGCTCAGTCTCCTAGTCGAAAGTGAGCAGAGCAAGCCAGACTGAGCAGTGTGCACTCAGCCCGCACCTGCTCTGCCCACGTGCACGGCCAACCTGGAGGCTGGTGCGCAAGCCCAAGGGTCCTCACTGTCTTGGTCGGTCTCCTGTAATCCCAGCACCTGGCAGTCTGAGGCAGGAGGATCTTTGCAAGTTCAAGGCCAGCCTGGACTACAAAGAAAGACTCTGCATCTTCCCAAGTCCTTGAAGCCACACCCTTAACTCCTGAGCCACTTTAGAAGGAGAACTGCTGCGCTCAGCTCACGATGTCAGCTGCCACTGTACCAAGCAGAGGGCCTGTGAACAGTTTTTTTTATGTTATCTGCACTCTCTTTGTTTCTTCATTGACTCCAATCAATCTTATGTTATTCTTATTTGCATCGTCTAGCAGCTGCTCGTTTGATTTGTGGTCCCTTACTATTTTTAAGAAATTTTTCTTTCGGGCTGGGAATTTAGCTCAGTGGTTCTGCCACCTGCCTCGCAAGCCAAGGACCTGAGTTTGATCGTTGGTACCAAAAAAAAAAAAAAATTGCACTTTTACTGGTTACTAATTGCAATCCTATGTTCTATATCTGAAATTCTGTCCTTGCATTGGCTCATTCTGCTGGGTAAACTTTCAATGGAGTTTTAATCTCCCGGAAATCTGTTTCCATCTGTTTTATGGATTCCATTTGCTTCCTATGTTAGGATTCCATCATGTTCCTCAGCTCCTCTATATTTTTATCTGTGTCCACTCTAGATTTATTGGTCATGTCTTGCACTATGGGGACAATCTCTGCTGTTTTCTGAGAAATTATTTCTGATTTCATTTTTTCCAAGTCTTCTTTCATTGTGAGTTTAGGTAGTTCAGGTGGTTGAGTATCAGATTGTTCCATCTTGTTGCCCTTTGGGGTTGCCTTAGGTGATCTGTAAGTCTGGTTTTGAGACTTGTTTACGTGTCTTCTCATTTCAATAGATGCCGCCTGTGTGCCTTTGTTGAGGCAACTTTTTGCTCACCCAGTGGTCTTCAATTCTCAGCAAGCCACAGAGCAGCCTTTACTCTGCTGCTTACCAGTACACCAATTCCTGGGTTCAGAGTGGTTGCCTTCTGGATCCCTGATATGACTTGTTGTCTGGGCAGGCTTCTGGCTAGGGCCTGTGCACACTTGGGATGGCATCTAGGTGTGCCTCTCACTAGGGCCCCTATGTAGCTGTTGTCTGGGAGGGCCTTTGGCTGGGGGCTGTGCACCCCATTTCCTGTTGTCTGCACAGGCTTCTGGCTAGGGTCTCCATGCACTTATCAATGACATCAGGCAAGCCTCTGGCTGTTGCTTGTGCACATGGGTAGCTCTTTTACCGGTGGGCCCTTGGCTGTGGCCGATGGTATAGTGGGCCTCTGGCTGAAGCTTGTGTGCCTGTGCATTTCTTTTCTGGGTGGGCCTTTGGCTTGGGCAGGTGTGCCCAAGCCTCTGGATTTGGGGCAGAGCCCTGGCTGGGATCCATCTGCAGCCATGCAACTCTGGTCCATACAGCTGCTCCCCAGGATCTGTGCACACTTACCAATGGTATGGCAGGCCTCTGGCTCATCTATATATTTTCTTTACATTGATATTCTGAGATCATTTATTGTATTTTAATTTGATTTGAATCTTACATAAACTTGTGTGATTTTTCAGCTAGTTTTCTCTATTCTCCATGATTTTATAATTTTCTCCTTTGAGACTGCATACATTTTGCAGATATACAAAATTACACCCTATGTCATTCCTAGTAACTTCCCACTTTCATCATAATGTTCAACCTTTTCAATTATTTGTGTTTTCTAACACTGGTTAGTAGGTTAGAACTATACCAAATAAAATTAGCATCCATGGACATCTTTGCCTTTTCCCTGATTAGAAATAATACTTACCTGTATTTAGTATAAAAACATCAGGATTGAATGCTGGTTTTCTTGTAAATTTTCAGATGAAAATGAAAGCCAACAGAAACTATATTGCCGTTGACTCCATTGTTGTATCTGCAGAGAACCAAGCCAGCTCTACATCTACGGAATTTTCCCTTACTTCCTACCTACTCATCCTGAATTTGAATATAAACATGTTATATATTTTAGTTTACAGTAACTTTAAAAGGTATTTTCAATTATTGGTGTATGAAATATTGATTTTGTGTAGAAATACAGAAATCAAATGCTTTATAGAAAGAAAATCAGTGCAGTGTGTGTGTGTGTGTGTGGGCGGGGTGTTATCAGCATAGCCTGAGGTTGGCAGAAGTGCTGAATATCAGAGTGTAGTTTTATCTATAATCTCCCAATACTGGCATTCTCATTAGTTTAGCAAAGGGAAGCCTGAATATGTTGTGATTCTCATTTTAGCTTTCATGGTATCTTTCTTTCTCTTCTTATCATTACATGCTTATGCCTTTGAAAGTTTTACAAATAAATGAGCAGAAATAAATAAAACTCAATTCACTTGAGATTTTGAAGACATCTGGTGTAGTTATTTTCAGAGTAATTAGACCAAGAGGTAAGCAATTCCCTGAAGAAAGCTACTCTACAATTGGACACCCATCTCTGCAGTCAGCAGCTTACACACAATGAACGTATTGATTTATAAATTGACAAACAATTATGCAATGGTGCCACCTGATAGCCTAGGACCATTTATGTGATATAAGTATATATCCCACATATGTTGCCCCTTCTCAGTTCTCTCATAGTCTATTTCTTTATGTTCCATCTCTTCAATGTGTTATTTATGTTGCTAGGGAGACTGAAGGTAAATCACCTTCATGGGCTGGCCTACGCTCATCTTTGGTTAATTCAACACTTGGAGAAGGGGAAGTAAAACGGGTCAGGATGGGATATGTATGTGAGCCAATGATGAAAATTCCATGATACATCCCATGATACATCCCACGATGAACATATCCATTATGCATTGCAAACACATACTAATATAAACAGTAAAAAAGAAACTAGCTTGGAAATCCTCATAAATGAAGCAGTAATACTTAAAATGTATCTCTTATAAAGTCATAGATTGAAAGGGGATCTGAACACCTAGAGTTATTCTCCCTAATGGAGACCAAAAAACTTAGAACAACAACAACAACAACAACAAAAGTTATACTATAGCTTTCCAATTTAAGAACTCTGGGAGATTCTACTACTGTCTTAAACTAAATTGCTACCCAGAACTTTTCTTGTATTGCTAGCCTAAATCCCACAGGTTATTAAAAATCTACTTCACTGTCTATACCTTTAATATTTTATTGTTATTTGAACAAAAGTAAAATCAGAAGTTCTAACCATGATGGGGATCAAGACTCACCCACAAAGATACCTACTTTAACACTTTCCTGATCCCAGACCTCATACAGTCACTCTTCCATCACTCTCAACTCAATGTCAGGTGAGAGTTAGGAAGCTAGGATATGTCTGTACATGTAGGCTAGGTATACAGGATATTTCCAATCTACAAATAATTTACAAATTCTTTAAGAAATATAAGGGGAAATTATGTATATAGGTTAACATTTGGCAGTAAAGTCAATATGCAAAATTTATTCTTAGTTGAATATACTCCCCTGATCTCAGGATATCTACATCTGACGACCACACAAAAGAAATTCAAAGACATCTTTTACCAGGATACTTAACATGTTTAGTGCAGTCTATTCCTTCACATTTTTTTTTATCTTTTCAAGCACAAATCATGTTTTAATTTCATGTAGTCCAACAGAAAGCAATCAAGATTTATGCATCGTGATTTTTGGAATGCTTGAATTGAGATCACCAAATCCTAAAATATTTTTGCCAAAGGATAATAATTCCATTTCAGTTTCACTAGCTGAAATAGCAGTATGACAAGAAGCAGAAGTAATAAGTGCATCTGGTACTTCAATCTAAATATCATGACAGACTCACCAGAGGTTTCATCTACTCTCTCATCTACGATGTGGTCCTTTTGGTGAACCCATTCACTGTTGCATTTGAAGTATATCTGTGTGGCGGGGCTGGCTTTACAATACAGGTTCACAGGCTTATTCTTCACAATATAAGCTTCTTCAGGCTCAATAAGGAAGTGTGGCAGAGGCTCAGGTGGATCCGATGGAAAGGTTTCTGGAAGTTCATGAAAAAAGTCATCATCTGGTAAACAAAAAACAAAGAAAAAGAAAAAGAAAAAATAGTCAGAACATAATAACTTGCCTTTTACTTGCAATTCATTTTAAAATAATGATTTGCAAATGAACCAATTAAGTGACTTGAATGTCTGTTACATGTTAGATCTACTGACTAGTTGCTCAATTAAGGATCTAGATTATTACTATTCTCATTTCTATACATGCAAAACTCAACATCAGGGAGAATAGGTTGTTCTAAAATCACAGGTAGCAAATAGCAAAACAGGAATAAAAACTCAAAAACTGTGACCTCTGTAATAGTTACTGCACTTCCCAAAATACAGTGTTACTCATAAGAGCTGAAAAAAGTGAAAACTAGAGCATTAGAAAAATTTGTTTGAAAAGGATAAGGCTTGTAGGTAAACCTTTTGATTTTTTGCAAGTTAAGCAGAAATACTAAAATATGAACTAAAGATCTTTAGATTCAGATTTGAATCTATTATTGTCAAAAGCTGCCACACTGTGAAACATGCATTCAGCAAAACATATATATTTATTGAGTTCAGAATTATTCAAACTACTGGAAATACAGATATGACAACATTAAGTCAATCAGTACTAGCATCACAGTGGGACTGAGGATGGAAAGGCTGTTTGGTTTGGTTTTGAAATTACACTTGCAAGGTCATATGGTGTGATATGACTAGTAACCCTATTCTCGTTAAAAGGTTACTGAGCATTATTACAAAGGGCATAATTATTTTCTTAGCCAACAAAATTATCATGTATAGTGCTTTGACCCTGATGTTTCAATTCCACTGAATAAACCTAACTTAAAAATCATCTGAGAGATTTGGACACTTGTATATTTTAAACTTGGATGCTGCATGAATGCAAATATAAAAAAACCCCAATAGAACTACCTTTTTGTAAAACCTACTATCATGTTTTATAGAAGTCAGGGTAAAAAGAGCCTTTCCAACACACTATAAATAAGTAAACCTGATTATCTTCCTATCAGGGATAAAGAAAAATGTAACTATTATTAATTCTGTAAATATGCTAATATGAAGGGTTAAAGCTCCCAGGTCAAATTTAAAACTTTTTACAAGTTCTTTAGAAGTACATAAATGTATTCAGTAGCAAAGGTATGGAATTGGTGCTTAATGACTGGTTACTCAGATGCTACCTTTAATGCATTTCATTATTCATTCAGGAGTTGGCCCATTTTGGAGACAGACACTGGTGAAGTGGACATGTGTTCACTAAGAAACCTGGTCAGGACCTTTTCCATCTAGGTCACAGGATGGCTGTCAAATAGTAATGATATTCAGCCGCTGTCAATCTGTTTTGCAGTAAAGATTGGCTTCACTTGCATCAGGGACCACAGTAGCTGTCAAAGCTGCTCCGCAATGGTCATTTCCAACCCTGGCATGTAAATGATCTCTCCTGCAGCTGGCGTTCTTTCTCACTTTACCTCCCTAATTTGCTTTCTTCTGGAAGGACATCATTTCTAGTTTTTTCCATTGCTAAACAACGAGGACCCAAACTGTCAGGTCCTAAAACATAACCTTGTTTCTATCAATTTCAGCTCTGTTAGTCAAAGCGCAAAAAACCCAGGACTGCTTAAATAAACACAGCTCAGGAAGGCAAAGGGCAGAGAAGCTGAACTATTGACAAATCCATCATGACAAAACTGATGTTTGAAGGCCTTATCCAATCTTTCTTTCTTCCAAAGCACTCACCGTTGTATGTGATGGACGCCACTGATGATCAATAAAGCTCCATAAAATGTAACACCTATCTTCTACAGAAGATTATCTACTGCTTTTGTTATTATCCATGAAGCCAAATGAAATGGAAAACTAGATTTTATTTTTCTTTTGGTGTATGTTTCTATGTACAAAAATGTGTGAGTATACTTAATAACTATATATTGGTTTCGACATGCAAAGTATGAAAGTCTTATATTCATCCATTAAGTGAAATTCATTCTTGTTCCGTAAGAAGGTATGATTAAAGGACACTTGATATTTTATTCAATAATACAGCACAAGTATGTGTATCTTCACATCCTGTGAAAGACTTCATAAAGACACTAAACATCGACTCCCCTGACTTGTATGTGTCTGTGTAGTCTGATTATTTTACTATAAACTACTGAGGAGACCATGTGAGATGAACAAGTCACACATTCACTTTCAAATCAAAAGGTGCTCTATTAAATGCTGGGGGTAAAGTACTGATTTAATAATATATTTTTTTTAAGTATGAGCAAGCTAACTTTGCATTTCCTTCATTTTGAGTTTTAAGACAAAATGATCACTACAAAGATAAATCGATGATTTTAGGTTTCACATATTATTGATTTTTTCAAGATACCTGTTAACAACTAAAATAAAAGTTATTAAGAAATGATTTATATCATTATAAATGCTTTAAAGCGGTCATGAAATTGTAACAAAGAAACCCATTATTTCATTTAACTAAGATGCACTAATAATAAAGGAAGGTTTTTTTCATGTGATAGGTCCAGTTTTGTTTACCTGTCATCCTACTTTCTGTAGAACTCTTCTCCTCTAGAAAGCTGCTTTAACCAGGAATAGCACAGTAGTTTATTAACAATTTTTATAATGGTCATACAGTAAATTCCAGTCGATGGCCTAAATAAAGTCATATTAATATGACATATCATTTCTAGTACTATAATTGACATGACATTTGCAAAGAAAATTCAAGATCCAGAGTTAGTATAGATGTATGGTGGAATAAATATAACAACATGGAAATGGTCTGATTATTAGTGGGCTCATAGGCCACCATAAAATTCTTGCCTTCTCCACTTGGAATATATATCTAGAAACTCTTCCCAACCAATGAAGTTGATCCAGATAAGAACTCCCCACCATCATGCTCAGCATGCTACGAGAACATTTTATTCAATTCTTGCTCTATGAAAATGTCACATATATTGTGAAATAGGCAGAAATTGTCTAAAGGAATAGGGGAAGTGGGAGGGGAAGGGGAAAGGAAAGAAGGGAAAGGAAAAATTATGAGAAAAGGAAAAACATGGAAACAAAGTCTTTGTACATAGGGAAGGGTAGAGGGGGTGAAGGGGAATGAAGAAAAAATAAGAACCAAGACACATCATGTAAAGGTACAAGATCCCAATGATGAATGTAACTGTATTGTATACCTAAAATGTACCAATAAATTAATGGAAAAAAAGAGAAAATGTCAAATGTTGGAACTAATTTTCAAAAAGTGACATTTTAGAAAATTTGTCTTAAAGTTTTCTTCTCTACTATATCCCTGTATATTTAATGAGAAAAAAATGATCAGCTGCAAATCCCATGTATTCCATATGGGCATTTATATGCTCTGGACTATACATTTGCTGCTAACATAAATGGAGGAATTTAATTTTCAACTACAGCAAGGAATTAGATTTTACCAATTTTCCAAAATCCAGAAGTATATAACAAATGTTTAACACTAGAGTGAAAACTCTCTGAAGGTAAGGACTGTTGTTTTTCATTTTGATCTTCCTAAGTCTAGTATAGCACAAGGCATATTTTAAGAGGTCAAAAAAATCTTATAAAAGCATTAATATTAATCTTATAAAAGCAATTGTAATCATTTGTAAAATATTCATGAGGTATCTTGGAGTTTATAGTGCCTCAAATTCATTTACAAATTGGAGATATCTTAACTATAGGTATATCCACAAACAAGTCTGGATATAAAATTTGTGTGGCCCAGTGTAAAATTTAAAGTCGGGAACTCCTGTTAAAAATTTATTAAGAATTCTGAAATGGGGACATCATAACATTAAGATCAAGCACTAGTCCTATGGGACAGCACAGGTCACTTAGCCACGAAGCTGGTCCTATCTACACATGTCAGAAAAGTAAGCATTTCACTTTATGAGGTCTGACAAATGCAATCACATCCTTATTAGTGGATATTCATAGAACATATTTGGTGCTCTCCAAATTTTTTTTGTACCAGGGATCAAACTCAGGTCCTTGTGCTTGCAAGGCAGGCGGTGGAACCACTGAGCTAAATAAATCCCCGGCCCGCCAAAGATTTTTATTGTGACTGGATGTGATCCAGACAACATGGCTTTTTTCAGGCTAAGAAACTTAGGCTCTAGCCAGTTTTTTAAGCAAGTGTGTTTGAAGCGGTGTGCTGGTGAAGGTGTGTGATTTTATCTGTTGCTGGCCTTTTCTTTGCCTATACTCCAGTGCTCATCCATGGGCCTGAGTCAAGATAAGTAAAATCCCTGCTGTGCAGATACTGACTCTTTCAGGACCACTGGAGGACTGTTCAGAACATGGAGATAAGAATGTATAAGAGTCTACCTTGAGCAGACAGTCTATCATTTTATCATATAAACAAACTGCTTTTCTGATGTTATTAAAGTCATGCTGCAAAACTTGAAGCTATAAAAGAACAATTTTAGCTTTTTTCCACAGGGAGATCAGTGAATGTGTTCTCTTACCACTTTATTTCTTAATATAAATATATGAAGTGGTAATATCAGAGTGATAATAGGAACTCAATTTGTGAACAACTTAGATGGTGAACTTATTTCTGGCACCATGTCACAGTTACCCTGAATTGTTCTATTTTATAAAAATGCATATGTTATCTGCTGATATAGATTGCATTTCTGTATTTGGGCCAAATGGATTAAACAATGAAAATGTGAAAAAGGTTTTCTACAGGTAGTTTGTTCAAATTAACAATGTAGAATTTCCAAAGTTGCTTTTTTTTCTGTACACTGAGTCAGTATCAACTTCCAGCTCTAATTGTCTTTTCTGATGTAGGTGTATCAATATTACTCATTTTTCTCTCTTCTAACATTTGACTTAATTTTCTGCTTCCTACTATTACTCAACAATGACATTCCAACTGTAGTGCCATTTTTATCTTGGTATCAGTAAATCTCAGTATTTCCTTTTCTCTTATCTCCTACAGGCATTTGCTTTTTCATTTTTATACAAAAATAGAAAGCTTTGCACCATGTATTATTTTTATAGTCTTTCATTCTACCTAATTCTTGACAAGAAAATATTATGCTATGAACATCAATCTAGAAAGCTAGTTTTATTGCTATATATCAAGGCTTAATTTTCATCAACTTAATACATAAGATTCTACATTTCTGAATCATAAGACTTAAAGTATTATTGCTTATATCATAAAATATAGAACCATTATCTCTTTGTCTGAGACATGAAGCGTATTCTTCTGAAATGGAATTTACTTCCAAATGATTCAAGAGCAATTTAAAATGAATGACTGCAAAGCTAATTTTATCTGCATTTGGCTACCCATCCATCAGAGAGATAATTCATGATATATTACAACAAAAGGCAGCTGGAATTAACTATTTGAATGAGAGTTCAGCTTATTTTTAATATTTTGATTAAAATATTCTTTAGAACAGAAAGACTATGGTCGATATTTCAATAAACACATTACTGAATTCATCATTTAAATTCAAGTAGTTGAATATATAATGCCTTAAATGTACTGCACAATTTAGAAGTATTGAATAAATTCTAACTTCAAAGGAAAAAATAAACCTTTTTCACTTTTAAAGAAATGCTTGCCAAACATGCCTAAGTGTTACTAATAGTGACCTAAAGTTAACCTGATATTTGACATGCAGTTGTCTTTGAAATACAGGTTCCGGTTTAAGCCATCATGATCTCTGAATTTGACTATTGTAGAATCTTCCATTTCTCCTGCATACCTTCTCTACCTCTGCCATTTTTTTCTGTTAGAAAAATTTTCAGAATCACTTTTACTCTTTTCTTCCAATAAATTAATAAGTGTAACATAAAGCTAGATGGTAAAGTTTTTCTGCTCCATAGATTAGCTAAAAAATACTAAATTATGAAGAACTGAAGAAAGATTCATTTGCACATACTGTCCAGATTATAAAGGGTACCATAGTAGAAAGAACTGACAATATAAGTAATAATTCAAACCTTGCACACCTCCAAATAGGCTATTTCACCTCTTAGAAGCCATTTTATAGAAATAACATAAAATGTAAACACATATGTACAAAGACGGTCACTGTGGTATTATTTATTGTGGCTGAAGCTATGCCTTCTCTTTCAATGAAGTCTTTTGCTTATAAATAGAAATCATGAAAGAGGAGGTATTAAATTTGTGATAATCTAAATTTATAATAATAATTAGTCTATTAGTCTGGCTATGTAAATAATGATTATAATTAATTTATAATCCATTGGTATTTGATTTTCACTTTAAAGTACTTAATTTTAGGATGTCAGAAATATGCAGAGTCTTACACAATGAATGATGGAAAAATTCTACCATTTTCTTATTCCTGATTAATGGACAGAGTTACAAATGCTGTAACTCTCAGAGATTTGAATAAGAAAATCAGAGAAAAATTTTATAAAATTTAAACAATTACTGGCAAGTAAATAAGACAACATAAACTTAGGACTGATCTTTACCAGTTAAGTAGTAACAATGATTCATAGCATAGAAGGTTCTAACAAAGAAGTGAATATTCACTATAATAGAGTCATATGACACACATTGGTCTCCTCCCTAGAAAACTCACTGTGGCTCTCAATTGCATGTTTCAACCTGGCCAGGCTCTGGTCCCCAGGTATTCAATCAACCCCTGATCTAGATGTTGCTGTGACTGTATCTGAGATTGTGATTAAGTCCATAACTAGTGACTTTAAATGAGGAAGATTCTCTGAGATAATCTGAATGTACCCCACCATTCAATCAATTGAAAAACCTTAGAAGCAGAAATGAGGATTCCTTGAATAACACTGACACTGGATTTCTATTTAATCACTGGAAACTGCAGTCTGACCACACTGACACCATTGGACCCTCCCTTCAGCTGCACCCTAGCCCTCTTTAATACTTGTTGTTCATCAGATACCAGTAGAAACCCCTCTTTCCCTTCAGCTGCCTCCTGGACCCATGTCCTCCTCTCTCATTGAGGGCAGCTTACTTTCTTCACACGGATTCTCCACTGGACAGCAAGTTCAGAGAGGGAAGGACAGTAACTTTATTCATTTCTGCATGAGCAATGTCTACTCTGGTGCTAGGCATAGACTTCAAAGTCCCTGTTCCCTTTCAATTTGTATTTTTTAAAAGAGGTTTCATGGAATAAGCTAGTGGTATACAGGAATTAGTTTATTAACTGAAAGCCTGCAA